GCGCAGGACACAGCTTCAACTGGTGAGGCCAGGTAACAACCGGGGCGTGTTAGGAGGACTGAGCGTGGGAGAACAAAGCTTGGGGCAAATGGGCATGGTTGGTCAAATGGACAGGAACCGGCCCCGCGCCCTCACTCTGCACCTTGCTGGGTGCCTTCGAGGGGAGACATGCCACTTGTATGCCAACCTGTCAGCTGAATACCTCTCCTGCCACGTCTGCACGTTCCAGCGCCACCCCCCCCGTCAGCTCAGGGCATGTCGGTTCAGACAAGCTGACATGCAGGGGGGAGCACCCAAGCATGTGTGCTGGCCCTCCTTCTCAGCAATTTGCATGCTCTGTTGAACTCTGTTAGAAAATGAATCGATTGCTGATATGCTAACTGCTTTCCCCAGTTCAATTTTCACAGAGGTCAATTCACCTGCCAGCATGTCTATGGGCTCTGGGAGGAAACCTAAATCCACATGGAGAGAACATGCAAACTCCACACGGACAGCACCCCAGGAAGTGAACCGGGAGCACCCACCCCTGTGAGACGGCAATGGTGACCACCACGCTGTCCATCAGCAGTCCAATGCAAATGAAATTCAAATCGCACAAATGGGAAGCTGGGTGGTGACTGATACAGTACTGATAAAAAAGGAGAGAAAGACTTGGTCAAGCTCCACTGCAAGCACACATGCATGCTGTTTTGCTGGTGCAGGACTTGAGATAAGACCTCTTTTTCTTAAAGAATTCAAAACCCTGACTTTTGGTTTTGCAGGCCGCCATAGCAAATATTGTATATTGTCATTTCAGAGCACTGGTGGAAACAAAACAAAGAGCCCCAGTCAGGCACAAGGCCAGATCAAGAGTGAAACACTGTTCTCATACTGCGAGGACTAATCCGAGTGCAGGTTACCTGGTCCACTCTATGGCAAGAAGCCCCAGACTTCATTTGCTATTTCTCTGCTCTTGCTTGGAACAGGACTTTGTCACTGTAGGGAACCCTTAAAGCAACAGCACATGGGCACTGCAATGACCAAAATAAGAGGAAAGGTTCTAAGGGAAACACAGCAAGTGTATCGGGGAGAAGCTAAAACGTGCCATGCAATGCTTAAAAAAAGCCCATGGATATAAATGAATAAGGCAGGCCCTTTTCACCAATATAATTGCTGTAATAAAGTAATTAAGAAACAGCAACTGAAAGGTTCTACATCCTGTGCGGCAAGAAATGAAGATGTAGAAAACAACAAATGATTTCCTGCTTCTCACCCTTGATTAAAAAACATGTTAGCGGGTAGGGTTTTGATCCTAAAATAGGACCTTACTTATTTTTTTCCATACGGTTGCACACTCCCAGATTTCCCAGGAGTCAGGTTCCCCATTGTGCACTGCACAAAACACACAGGATATGTGTATAGGTCGTTCCAATCTTCAAGGACTTGAAACGAAAGGTGAAATGAACCCACACATACAATAAGGGCTGGCTGCAGAGGGCACCTGGACTTTAAGAAATAAGAAAACTGTGCTTCTTTGAGAAGGGTGCACTGCTTGACTCGGGAGAGGATCTCAAGGCCTGAGACCAGGAGACCCCTGACACATCCTGTCTAAAAACAGAGCCGGGGAGTAAACGCCCAGACATTCTCCTTTATCATGCAGCATAAACAGATTAAGGCCGTGTGCACCGTTTGAAGATCGGGGCTGTGAAGAATTAATCTCACATTCTTCAGCTCTGCGCTAAAGGCTTCCTCTCTGGTCTCGCTCCACTCCCGGAACCGCAGTCAGCTGATTTCAGGGAAACTTTGTTTTCGTAGCTTTTTAAAGCTCGATGGCCAGCTGGGATTGGTTGTTGCTATGGGGAGGTGGCAAGAAAAAGTTTGAACAGCTTTGAGCCAATCAGGTTTTCGCCCCACCCCACCCAAACAGACCCAGTGATATTTTCACTTTTCTAAGCAGGAGATTTGTTTCTCGGGTTGGAGGCTGAAAAATAAAATTACCACATCGATCAGAGTCCTTGCAAACAAGACATGATCTCAGCGGCGGGGAATACATGAGGGCTGCAGTTGTCTTCCTCTTGTATAAAAACTGCAAAGCTGTTTTAAAAAGGAGAACTGGAATGATAAACTGAGGAGGCCTTTTGTCACTGAAGCCTCTCACCTCCAAATTCAGATCTCAGCTTCAGCCTTTGAAGCACATAGGTGACAAGAAATGGCTCACTTCTAAGCCGTGCATTGCGAGATTTGTTTACGCAGACAGAAGTAATCAAATAATGAGTAACACTGACCCTGAAAAACCACAGCGACTTCCTTCGCTGGGTCTCGGAGCACAGAACCTGGGCTCAGGTTGCTGGCACCAACAGGTTACCAAATCAAGGTTACCAAAAAGTCATGGCCCAGGCAGACCAAGCCAAACCCAGCCGTTTGCTTCCCAGTTAGTGATGAGATGGGGAGCTGAGGGTACTTGTGATTACCGTAAGGGAAAGCAGTTAGAGCTTCACACAGGGGACAACTCATTACACATAGAGTGGTGGGTGTCTGGGTCAAGGCACCCAGTCATGTTGGTAAAGGGGGATTCCCTAGCACCCTTCAAGACTCAGCTGGATGAGATGTTCAGCTGAGAGAGATGTGAGCTAATGGGTCTCCTCTCCTGTGTAACCTCTCCCCAACCTCCGATCCGCTTGTGTTTATCTGAAGGACAGAGCAAGAATATCCCGTCTTTCCTCAGGGCGTGCCCTTAAATGATGCACAGCCGAGTCACTGCATTTCTGCTGCCTCATCACATCCTCTGACCCCCCCGAGTGTCCTTTAAGAACAACCATGGAAGGCCATGGTGAAGACACTCACCCTGCAAGGTTTCTGCACAGCCTGCATCTCCACCCTGCGAAGAACATGCATCTGTCCCCTTTTGCAATAAAGAGAAAGCAATGATTCCTTTGCTACTGCACATATTTCAGTAAGTGCTGTGTCTGCAAGAGCACCCAAGCCTTAGACCATGTTGCAAAATCCCAAACTACAGTATTGGTTTGGGGGGTTAAAAGTGCACAACTGTCCTGTGTATTTTTTCCTAGCCACGCAGCTGTAAGGACGCTGTAGAGCAAGGAATTGAAAAGCTCTGTAAAGACAGAAGATTAAACATTTGCCGTTCATACAAGCTGAGTTCCTGTAGCACCCAGTGAGATTCCAAGATTAATAAGGCTGTGGCCCACCTGATTCACAGCTGTGCAAAACTGTCAGACAATTTGCATCGCTTTGTCCTTTAGACAAGCTTTTGTAGCTAATTTTTAAGTGTTAGCCCTGATCTGTATTTTCTAGTACTGGAAGTAGCCTTTCACTTGTATGGGTGTGTCAAATTAAATTACCGATGCAGTAAGTGTGATAGATTAGTTACCACAACAGAATGGTTGAGCTAAAAACATGCAGTTGCAGGTTCTGATCAATGCTAATTCAAGCCTGTTAAAGAGCTTGTTTTCTTCTCTTCTTAGCTAAACTGCTTTAATACCATCTATCACTGTTATAATAGGAGGAAACCAGGGCCATGGGTTCTGGTCCGGCCTGGAATGGGAGACCATCATGTAAGCAGAGTTTGTAGACCAGTAGATGGCACGCCTCCCTCTGGATTTTGGAATTTCTCACATCCCAGTACGTGAACTGGGGACATTGTACTGCAGGTGGTCATGCTTAATGGCCAGATCCCATGGGACTGTTCACACAAGATGGCGTGTTAGGCTGGTGGATCACAGACAACACCACTCTCTTTTCACACAAATCTAACCTACCTCTAGATCCCCCTTAATTCAAATCGGCAAAGCACTTTCTCACTCCTCCATGTGATCTGCTGTTGCAGAATGGCCGCTGTGCGTCAGCCTAGAGGGGGGTGAGAACTTCAAGGCTGAATTGATGCCCTTCTTATAGGTAAAGCACTTTGCAAACCATTTCCATTTATAACTTATTGAAAACTGCCCTGCAGAAAGGCAATTGTTTTGGAAAGCAATCACAGGAAAGGTATCGAGAGGAGGCTGTTTGGTCCAATACACCCGTGGTGGTAGCAGTGGGATCAATAGATCATGATACGTAAGAAAACATGTTTAAGAGCCTACTGAGGAACATGAACCCTTTAATAACTTGGTATGAGCTGGATTATTGTTCAACAAGGCAGATCTTCAAAAGGGCCACCTATGGGAAATATCTGGCACTAGAACTTATGGAACGGTTGGAATTTTGAGCGCTGCTGGCCTTAGGAGTGTGGAAATTCTAAGAGAAATGAGTAGGACACTAGCTGATATTTCGGTACATGCTGAACTGGTTGCGTGTCATTTTCTGCCACATTCCGGCTGGGAGTAGAAAGAAGTATAAAATTGTTCAAATAGCTCAAATTATTCATGTAACAGGTCAATGGTCTCCATTGATGCAGGGTTCAAGACCGTGACTCTGCACAATTGTGTTCCACCCTTGCATATGAAAGCAAACCTTTTGCAAAACTGGGGACAAAATATTGTTCCCCACTTCTTATGCATAGGGAAGAACATCTAATTTTGCCATAAATGGAGTGGAGACATTACCCACATGTAATGCAGCAATGATTTCCTACTACTGATGATCTGATCATCTATATTTCATGTAGTGTCTTTCATATGAAATGCATATCAAAATGCTACACAGAAATAAAACCATAATTGCAGTTTTAAATTTAGTTTAAAAAAGTTTAAATCCAATCAACAGCTGACATGCAATAACACCGTAAGGATGAAAACAAGCTTTCAGTTTTAAAAGAGCTGGCATAAATCCTTCAGATGCTCAAGCCATCTAGTGAGGAGAAGAATCATGATCTCCAAAAGAGTGCCGTTTTATCTTGTGTCTTCACAAGCCTGGGTCAAGGGAGGGAAGACTTCCTGGTGGAGTTTAAGGGGAGAGAAGGTCAAGAACACAATTCAGAGCAAAAGCGTTCACCGTTAGGAGCAACATTTTGGATTGGACTCCGAAATCCACCAGTAAGCAATGTTAAGACTGGCAGAATTTGTTTCATTTGAAGACCTTTCCATTATCTATTTTCAAAGCGCTTCTTTCAATTCAGGGTCATGGGAGAGCTGGAGCCTTTTCCGGCAAGCAATGGGCTCAAGGTGGGGTAGACCCTGGACAGACCAATCCATCGCAGGGCTCACACACACTCACACCAGGGCCAGTTTTCCTAAAAGCCAAATTAGCCAACCTGCATGTCTTCGGATCATGGGAGGAAACCTACATAAGCATGACAGAACATGCAAACTCCACTGAGACAGCACCCCAGGTCTGGAATTGACCCTAGAGCCCAAGCACTGCAAGGCAGTAATGCTAACTACTGTGCCATCAAGCCACCCAAGAGAACTTACCTTTGGCTAAAATTTACAGCATCCTCTGTGGAGCACATAACCATGCTTTTCAAGTGCAATGCCCATGCAATCACCATACCATACAGACAGAAGACAGTGGTCAGGATTTCATCACAAAACCAGGTTTTATTCTGAGAAATCGCCTTGCAGTTCCTTGCCAAAAAGCATCACAGACTTTTTTCTGTGCAAATTTTTTTTTTTTTTTTAAGTGTTCAACAACACTGCAGCGTTGATTTTAAGGGGCTCGAGCAGGAGGAGGTATCATCTGTTCACAGTGCACGACTACCTGCGGACAAACAGAGGCCAAAGCCCAGATAAGAGCCAGCCTGTATCTGCAGATAGCCAAAGCCCTCTCAAAAATGTGTCTGCTTTATAAACAGCGAGACAGACGGGGTCCCCTGTTACATGTCAAAGCGCAGTGGAGACACTACGCTAGCGGATAGTGCTTTCATCAAGAGGACAAGGGAGAGACAGTTGAAATGGGGAAAAAAAAAAGTGCACCCCTGCTTAAAATCGGTTGGAGTCATCTAACCTGCCACTACTTCCAGTGAGGAACAAACCCACATTACGCCAAGCCCAACTGTCTCTTCTCAAAGGAATGCTGGGAAGATGGTTCATAGAGCACTTCCTGCTCTACTTTCGGCAATACAGTTCTTAGCTCAACATCTACAGGAATTGTCTGACGCACAGCAGGAAACTACAAAAAAAAAAACAAATTCTTATGAAACCAAGGTCTCGAACAGGGTAAAAAGGAGCGGCACCCATCTCAAGAAACTAATGGTTGAAAACTGACACCCCCACCCCTAGCGCATTTTGTGTATTTCCTCCCACAGAAGGAAAATTAGGAGTTTTCTCAGCCTTTTCCAGCTGGGAACCCATTTGTAACGGGATCACTCTCATGAAGAAAGCCAGGCTTTGCCAGAACATCGCTTGTGAAAGAGTGGTTCCAATAGAAGACCACCAATACTAAAGCTGAAAACAGAAGTCTGATCAACGGTCCCTGGGAGTGTCACCACAGCAGAAACTACTGTATGAGAGAGCTTGTATTATACAGTACTGGAGCAGACATGAGGCCCCCTGTACAGTGTCATGGGACCTAAAAGAACCACAGCACTAAATATCGTCACCTCAAGAATGCATTAGAGTCACTTCCAAACACATGTAGGTTTCAAGTGCTCGTTCTTAGGAATAGGAGCAAAATGAACAAACAGCACCTAGAAGCAAGAGGCCTTTCAGTTTGAAAAGAGGGTTTCATACTGATTGTCTGACCCAAGGAAGTCATAACCCCCTGCCCTTTGTACACAAAGCAGAACTCCAGAAGAGCAGCTGTCATGACTTGCATCTGACGGTGCTCAATACACAACGTTTGGATTCCTTCACACCTTGTAAACACGTTGAAAAGAAACACTGAAAAAACTGAGTTATCAGGGTTGTTTAAGTTTTAAAATAACCATTAGCCCATCACCAGAAAACATACTCTGTGGGAACAGAAGCGGATCACTTGATAAATAGAGAAGCAACAGTAAAAAAAAGTCTGATAAAATCTAAGAAATAAGTGTACACCCCCGATCTGGATTACAGATAATAAAATACAGGAACTTTACTTTAAAAGTAAAAGAACTAAACTGAAAAATTCCTTGGGTAGATAGAAAAAGGACACATAAGAAACACCAACATCAGAAAAGTGCTGGCCAGACCTTGAAACAGTGTGTGGATGCCAAGCTGGCGCCTGGGAACATTCTTTGGACTGTCACAAGCTATTTTGACTGGAAGAGTGAAACGCGAACCATGGGGCATAAATGGAAACTAAGAGGAAGTATATTTAAAACTGAGAACTGGAGGCACTTTACACTAAGAGTTGTGGGAGTAGGAAACTGCCCTGCTGATGTGGTTAAAGCTGATCCAGAGAAATGGCTGGATGAGACCCTGGGAAATGTTAGAAGAGCCACTACAGAAAGGCCTTCCTAAGCTGCCGACGCCTGGTTGCATTTTCTAGCAAGTCAGAGCTTGATAAATATCCCAGAGGCTCCCTAAAAAAACACTGCCTGCTAGAGAAGGGAAAAAACAATGAGCTATTCCTTCAGCTGCAGAGTTATGTTAAGAACCATGAGGTAATGACTGGCTCTGTGACCATGTCCTTCCCCCAGTAGCTTCAACCCTCCATTTCCACTCGGCATGAGCGCTACTTTAAAATAACGGGCCTCGTTCTTATTCGGGCGCACTACAGCCCCTCGCGAAAGACGGCCAGCAGATGCCAGCGACATCAGGAGGAGAGTAAACATTACGCCATCTGTTTCTAAAAAGCTGAAAGTGACAGCATTTGTTGTCCCGTGCCCTCTGTGCTGCTCAGCAGGGGATAAGTATCGCTTTGCAGAAACTGCATCCAAAAATATTCACTTACTCTGCTGCCTCCGAGGCATTATAAACAGGCTGTGCAGCTGCAAAAGGGTCGGCTGTGCAAAACTATTGCAGCAATTGCCGACAGGCTCTACAGTATGGATCGTGCTGCGATAACATGCAGTACAAGCCCCTATAAAAAAAGATGCATGGCCTTTTGTAAAAGGGGCAGTGAAGCATGCTAGTGCAACAGAGGGTCACTTAACTTGCTATAATAGCACTTGGAGAGGTGGGGGTGGGGACGCATATTAACGTCGCGCAGGCCTCTGAAGCACAGCAGTATGCACTTCAGCCGGTGACCTGCAGCTCCTCATCCCTTCCTTTCCCTCATCTTCAATCCTGCCTTCCTGAAGGTATGAGCAGTTGGCAGTGCAAAAAGAAAACAGGAAACCAATAGGCCTCCCACAAGTGTAGCTTATTAAAGACGTGCTTTGCATATTCTTTCAATGCTCTGTGCAGGCTCCTCCGTGTGCTCTCGGGTTTTCACCATTACTGAACGAGCACCATCGCATGAAAGTGTACCATGGTAAGTTCTCAAGTAGTTGTAGCCAAAAAAAGCAAGCAGTTGGCGTGACCCTACTGTGTTCTGTCTTGTCAGTGCAGTTTGGATGTTTAAGTCCTGGAGTGCTGCTAACAGTGGCTCTCCAGGGATATCACCTGGGTCAGTAACGAGTCTGGGGTTTGCATTAGCTGCTTGGGAAAGTGCCACAGAGAAGATCACAACTACTGCTAGTCCGTGGGATTGTGCGGTGTTGTTCTGGAGCGACGGACACTTGCTGCGTTCCAGCACACAAAGCCAGGAAAACAACCTGCCAGCTGGAAGCAGCCTGACGATGGAGGGAAGCAGGTTTTTTTTAGCATGATTCTTCTGGAGATCTGAAAGCAAGAACCAAAAAACCGGGGGGGAAAGGCTCCACACGTGTTTCTCAAATGTCAGAGCAGCTCCTGCATGCAACAAGCATGAAACATGGGTTCATGTGTAAGAGCCTGCTGCTCCTAAAACCTGAAATGGATCAAATTGTTATGGGATGGAACGAGGCAAGCCCTGGGTCACTGGTGCTTCTGAACACATGCCACCCAATTCCACCCCAAAAGTACCAGCCCACATAATGAGGCTAGATGTATACTTGACAACATTACACGCAATGGGGGAAAAGCTGCAGGTGAGACTTTCAATTCTCTCAGGATGCGCAAGACTAAGACTTAATTCCGGTGTGTGTGGTTCTTACTGTGGTGATTTTAAAGGAACATAGTGCCTATCCTACAAGCACAGTGCGCCAGTGGGACAACAGTGCACTGCAGGACACACACACTTTAGAGACACCAACTAACACAGCCAGAATAGATTTGGGAGGAAATGGGGGCATCTGGAAGAACTACCCCTCCTTAAAAAAATATGGGGAGGGGAGGAAGAGACATGCAAACTCCGTACGGAATGTGCCCATTTGGAATCAAACCCAGGACCCACGAGTTCAGAGGCAGGAGGCTAACCGCTGTGCCCCAGTGCTGAAAACTGGCAGGTTGTAAACTCCTCCAAAAAAACAAAAACAAGGGAAGAAAAAAAAAGATCCCAACAACAGCACACATCTGTTTTGGAATCTCCAAGAACACAAAGGCATCTTCCGGCATCGCTCCGGCTGGTCCTGCCAGCCGACATCACCGGTTTTCTCCTCCGGCACAGGGCCCGGGCTGCTTCTCTCTCTGCTCGCCCGTGCGAGAGCAGCCATCTCCGTTACTGCGCTCGTGTGCACTACAACAAAGCAGGCACTGTGCACGTTTCCAGGCCGGCGTCGCTGAAGCAGAAGACCAGCCGTTAGGAAGCTGCGGTAGACCACTGCTCGTTTTCCCCTCCGGGGGGGGGGATATCGTCAGGCTCCTGTGGAAGAGTGGAAAAACATCCCAGGCTGAAAAGACTTCAGGGAAAAAAAAGAGAGGATTTCTACCCTAAGCAGCACACAGCTCCAGAATCGCCCCAGAGGAGGCCCTTCAGCCAGGTTGGTTAATAGTAGCTGATGGAGCCCCAGATCTCATTCAGCCATTTCATAAAACAGGGGTTCCCAGTCCTGGGCCTGGTGATCCCCACCCCCCCCACACACCTGCTGGGGGGTGTTTCACCAGAGCCCTCAGTTCCACAGTCAGACCCTTCATTGACTTCAGAAGAATAAGATTCATTTGACCTGTGTGTTCTCAGCTCTTGGACATGATGGAGCTTTACAAGTGAAATAAATCCCCAAGCTTGTGACTAGAAACAAAATGCGCACGATGGCTGCCGTTGCATCATCCAGGTGGATGCTGCACATTGGTGGCAGTGGAGGGGAGTCCCCATCACCTGTAAAGCGCTTTGAGTGGAGTGTCCAGAAAAGCCCTATATAAAAGGGCAAGCGATTATCATTAAAAAAACTCCAACAAAGCAACTTGAACGAGAAAACAGAAAAATCACTATTGGTTTATATATACACAACTTGCACATATTCAGTCTTAAAACAGCCCTAGGAGCAGAGCAATTTCCCCCTGCAGTTATTTTCCTCATTGCTACATCATAAATCAGCCTTGGATTAATCAGGCCTGGGATCCCATGAGCAACGGCTTGTTGATTCGTTGGGCTGAGGGCGTTGACATACAGCTTGTGCTGCTTCGCACCAGCTCTGCTCAGAGCTCCCATGTGCCCAGGGAACGCCGAGAGGGAGAGCAGCTCCTGGGAGCCAGCAGGATTCTCGTGTGACACCGTGCCCAGGAAACAAAACAATGACTGCTTTATGGCTGCAGAGCGGCAGTAAATACCGGCTGTTCAGCTTTCCTATGTGAATCCAAACGCCAGATTAAACAAACCCCTGAGTGTGATCCAATGGGCAAGGCAGCCGGGACCGTTTCCTTTCTCCTTGTCCGGCCCGGAGCCTCTGGCTGGGCAGCAGTGAAGGGAGGGGATCCTCTCTCCTCCTAAAGGAACACCCCATTTTTCCCCAATGGGTTTCCAGCATCACATTCACAGACAACTGTGAACCGGAGCCATTTGGCACATCAGATCGTGAGACAACTGGAGACACTTGCATGATCATGCACATGAGGAGAGGGATTACAAAGCCCGGGAACTCTCTCCCTAAGGATATCGGAGAGTCACCTTCTCTCATCTCCTTCAAATCCACACCCAAAACCTTCTTATTTGGAAGGGCCTTTAACTGCCTCTGTTCTTTACCCTTCTACTGCTACTCTATTCAGCACCCCCATCTACTGCCTCCTCTCATGGTGCATATATATCTTGTGTATTTTAATCATTGTTGTTGTTCTGTAAAGCACTTTGAGAAGCCACCCGTAAAGGCACAATATAAAAAAAAAGTTATTATTGTTCTCTAAAGCCAAAGGCTCATCCCAGCTCCTCTGGGGGTCAGAACCAGTCCTGCAGGACACGAGGATTTTGAACACCTATAAGAGCATTGCAGCTCATACATAAGACCAGTATTTACACGCTGCAGTACTCTTATAGGCGTTCAAAACCATATTATGTAAACAAGCAGCACTTCAATGACTTAATTGCTATATTGATTCCGATATAGATCTATAAAAGCATTGAAGAGTACCTTATAGCACACTTGTACAATGGGGGGGGGAAGTGGAGGGACTGGGAGCGGTGGTTTCCCAAAGCAGAAGATCACAAGTTATCAAAGCTGCGTCACAAAAACCCACGATTCTCAAATAATCCCTGCCTTCCGATTCCAGAGCCCAGGGGAGAGCTACAGCCATTGTTGAAGAAGTCTCTTGCTCTTCCCTATTCTCAAAACAGCATTGCGTTTCACTTCCTGGCCATAACAAATAAACTAAAAAGAAAGTCTGAGGGAAGTGATGGGTGAAACAAAGTTCCATTTCCCTAAACTGGGGTTCCTCTTGAGTAAAACAAAGCCGTCACTGCGCTTGGGGTCGGAAGAGCAGTCCCACAGGGCCCGGGGCAGGAAGAGAAAAATCCCCCGCTCGAAACTGTGCATGCATGGCCAGCCCTGCACCAGGGCATTCCAGCCTCTGTTTTCTGTGTGGGGGGGGGGTTTACGCTGGTGCAGTGGTCAGCATCGCTGCCTTGCAGTTCTGCGGCCCTGAGCTCAATTCCAGACATGGGGTGCTGTCTGGGTGGAGTTTGCATGTCCCCCCTGTGCTCACAGGGGGTTTCGCCAGGAGCTCCAATTTCCTCCCCCAGTCCAAGTATATACTGGTAGGGTTACTAGCTATTGGTTCTGTGAAAACTGGCCCGGGTGCGTGTCTGTGTCCGACTGCCCTACACTGGACTGGTCACCTGTCCAGGGTGTACCCTGCCTTGTACCCCTTGCTGGCTGGTATAGACTCCAGCTCCCCTGAATTGGACGACATGGTTAGGAAACGGATCAACACCACAATTCTTTTATTCAAAAAGTCTCCTCATTTGACCCCGTGTTAGTTTCATTCCATACAAGTCACTTAAAAGCTGCAGCTTGTGAAATGTAAGATTCAACTCATTCATGCAACATTTATAAATGAACCTAAATTTCAGAACAAGATGACCAACCACTTGTTGCATATTACCTGCGAGGCAGTTAACCAATCTGAGGATCTCATCCAGCAAACCTTTGTGTCAGGAAGCGCCTTCTGTTTGCAGTTTTAAAAGCATTCCTACATCCTTTTCAGTGAGCGATTCACTGTTCATTCTGAAGTCTCCTGGATTGACTGCCAGCATCTTTGAGGACCTTGAATACTTGAAATGGGTCTCCTCGGCCTCCTCTGTGTAAGAGGAAAGAGATTCAGTTCCTCCAGCCTGTCAGCTGGACATTGCCTTAAGTCCCAGAACGCATCTGGTTGCTCTTTCCTGGACTGAATCTCGAACAGCCCTGTCTTTCCGATAACATTGTGCTCAACGCACTTGTAGAGCATATTCTAAATGAGGGCAAATGAGAACATTATCAAATCTTCAACTCAAAGGGGCTCCGTTAAATAACCGAAAGATCCGCACCATGCAGGCTCTCAGAAAGGCACCCAGGTCTCAGTCACCCCAAGAGCCCTGATGAGTAACGCCCAGCTGGGTGCAAACAGCCATCCAGGGAACCCCACACTGGGGTGTTGTTAAAATCACCCTACCAGGTGCGACCTCCAGGACTGGGGGTGACTTCCCATTGAATACCCCCTCCCCCCCCCCCAGGCACATGAGGGTCCTAATACAGAGATGAGCTGTTCATGTTCCAAAGCACCATGGAGACTTAACTACCCACCCACGTTCCCCACTAAGGAGCATAGCTAAGCCTTTTCAGAATGACTTCAAGTAAGCCAATCTGCCAGAGGGGCCATTTAAATCCACCACAAACAATGCTCATTTTACTACAAAAATGAGCGTTAAGGGAAAAATAAAACAACAAGCCTGTTTTTTTAGTTCAGGACCTCACCACATCCATATTAACAAGTAGTCAAAGTCCCACTTGTCCTGTAAAATGCATCCAGTCCAGAAAAACTTTTTCATAAAACTGTCATGATTAAGGATTTTTCTTCCTCTGGGTATCAAGCAATCCAGGATTTTACAAGCCAAAAGCTGCTCGAGCAGATTACAAAATTTACACTTCAGAAATACTGGACCTAACCTAGGATTTTCTTTTCTTACACAGGAAAGATGTAGGGGGCCACGTGGGTGACCCCAGACTGCTGATCATGCTTTACTGGATGCATGCCGTTCTGGTTTCCTTCTGATCATTCCCCTCCCACCCGTGTCAGCTCGGCACGGCATCTGACAGCACAAGCACCAAGTCACACGGCCACCCAGAACGCAGAAGTCATGATCAGCACTGGACCGGGGGGGGGGGGGTGTCATGCTGCCTGGCCATGGATCTCTTCCCCATTTCGGGGAAAAAGCAATACAGGAGCCAATCAGTTTCAAAATCCTCCTCATTCACATTCCCGCGTAGTCACGGACAAACATGGGCGTAATTTCTGGACACTCCACTCGGAGCGCTTTACAGGTAACGGGGGCTCGCCAGTCTCTCCTCCCCACACACCAGCTCTCAGTGGGGAGGCAAGCCGAGTATCGATACGCAAGGTTCAGTTCCCTCGAACCTGCAACAGTGCTCCACACGGAGGGTCACATTGTTTCTAGAGCCGAGGCATTGCCCCAGGTAAAGACGGCTCCAGCCCTCGTAGACTCGCCGCCTCTGATCTTTAAAATGGCTTCATCGGGCTGGTTAACTGGAGCTAGATGTTGGATTGGCCGTTAGGATCAAGTGGTTCCCAATTGAAATCCTGCTTCAGCCAGTGGGGGTGTGGGGTCAGTCCCCCTGTGTACCTTAAGGTTCAACAGAGAAAATGGAAGCTATTCCAGCAGCCCGTAGACATTTATTTTTTTTAGATGCTTCCTCCAATTCAGAGTCTGGGAAGGGGCAGAAATCTACCCCAGCAGGACATTGTACATCCTGCATGGGACATTAATGGGACACTCGCACCAGGGCCTATTTTCCCAGAAGCCAATTCAGTCAGCTTTGGACAGTCTTTAGCGTGTGGTACAGTAGGTAACCACAGAGCACCTAGGGGAAACCAAGGTGAATACAGAACATAGGAACTCCACACAGACAGCACTCCAGGTTAGGAACTGAACCCAGGACCCCAGCAATGCTAATCACTGGGCCAATGGACATCCCAAAGGAGCATCATCATCATCCCCATCTCCTGGGAAGTGCAAGTCAATGACAGCAACACAAACCACTTTGGAAATGGTGCTTCCAAGTCTTAGTCTATAATACTTGTCCTGGTCTCTGCAGATGCAACCTTTTTTCTTTAAAACGGGTCACAAAGGTTCAGAAGAGAAGATGGCAGCATCTCAGGAAATGATTTCACTGTCTGCTGATGCATGAGAGCATGCTGTTCTCCTGACTCAGCAGGAAAAATTCAAGGCACAGCTGACAGGAGTCTCCCATGATCCAGACATTTGCAATTGCCTCCCCCCCGACACCCTACATGTCATCAGGCTAAGAAGGATGACCAATTTCTAAATCCAAGAACGATTTTCAAAAAATCCCTGCTCCTCCACCAAGATGTTGGATGGAGAAGTCACACCCCCCCCTGTAATTTTTCCCCAAATTTTCAGCACCACTCCGCCAGGGCTCTGAAAGAACTGAATGGCACTTCCCATCAGCCTGTGCGTCGCACTCACGCCAAGCTCCAGAGAGGGGCGTCACAAGCAACACCAAAACACCAAGGGGGTCCACAGGAGGATCACCTACTGAGGGGGGAAAAGTGGTCGATAAAGATGACATTCTCAGGTGCATGTTCTGAAAAACTCCCCCCGCAAAATGGTTTCATTTTCTTTCCAGGAAGCTTGAAAGAAAACGGAAGCGATTATGAAAGGATGGAAAGAGAGAACCACAATGTGTCATGCTCGGAAAGGAC